ATTAAAAACTCCCACCGGCCTCTAACCAACACCTTTAAATGTTTGTTTTCCGCCACATCTTTGAGAAGTAAAAGGTATTGTCAGCCCTTGCGCCAACGGTCTTATTGCTCCAGTCAGACGGTCAGTCCTTCCTTCTTCCTACCCCTGTCATGTTCCATTTATTATCATTTGCTCCTTGTTCACGAATCCATGGGACAAATTAGAGGTGATAGCTTGAAGTTGTACCGTTGACAAGTAGAATTGAAATGGTCGCCTCCTGCAAATTAATCTTGCCAAATCTCTAGAATTCAGGGGCAAAGGCAAAGGAGTTGGTTGTATCGCTCAGATTTTTTGGCACCATTCGGTTTAGTGTCACTTTCTTAAGCACTTAGAAATGAACGCACACAAGACAATTTTGAGAACAGATGATTTCTATTCCTTCATAAATAGCCAATGATTTGAGAATTTTCATAAGCAGACGGTCCTTGTTTTTTAGTATGTTTACTATTACTGTAGTGGTAATTATTCTTTGACTTGCGAATCCCATCACATGCATGAAATGTCATATGCCTTTTTTTTTTTGGTTCCCATGAAATCAATTGTTGCTTGAGATTTGGTGCTTATCACAATTAACTTGATCCACCAAGCCTTTAAGATGATTGGTCATCATATTCTCCTTTTGGCGCAAGGCTATTCCCACAATCTCTTTACAAATGTTGGTGAACTTGGAAGTCATTGAGTTTGAAACATGAACTATTCAAGTGATGGAAGTCAATGAGTTTCGCCAAAATTGCTTGATTAGTTTAAGAGGATAAAAGTTAAGATGCTAACATAATATGTACCACTTAATCGTATAATTAATTTAAGAATCACAATTCTTTTGAAAAATTGTAAGGGTACTAATTTTAAATATTACTCCGGTTAATTAATAAAAATTTAAAATTTTTAACCCAAAATTTAAAAAAATTATTTATATTAGATAAAAAGTTAGTTATTATTAAAAAATAATATTGAAAGTTGCATAAATACTCTAATATTAAGATTCACTTTTTTTTTATTAACAATTAAAAATAGTACAATTTCGAGCTTAATTTAATTTTTATTCTATTAATTATCACCTTGATTTCATTTTAGTCTAGAAACTATGTTTCATTTCTAAGTGGTTTATTAACTTTCAGATTCATTTCAATTTCGTCTACTTGATCAAAGATAATGGAAAACTTCCTATTCTATTAGAGAACAATTAGTCTTTTGACTATTTTTTTTTTATCTTTTAGTCCTTAAATTTATATTTGTTATAAAAATAGTTTTTTTACTTAAAATTATTATTTATAAGATCTGATACCAGATTTTTATACGAATTTTCCTATTTCTTTAATTTGGTATCAGAGCTTGAAAGTTAATAGATCACTTAGAAATAATAATTTTAAGTATAAAAATTTGGTATCAAGCCTAAAAATAATAATTTTAAGTATAAAAACTATTTTTATAATAAATATAAGTTTGAGGACTAAAAGATAAAAATAATATAGTTAGAAGACTAACTATTATCTAACATAATAGGAAGTTTCCGTTATCTTTCATTATCTTTCACCAAGTAAAAGAAATTGAAATGAATTTAAAAATTAATAGATCATTTAGAAATAAAACATAATTTTTAGATTAAAATGAAATTAAGGTGATAATTAATAAATTAAAAATTGAATTCAGCCTACAATTCCGTATAAGATGAATTGTGCCATTACATTCTCACAACATTATATGAAACGTATTGTACCCACTATTTTCGTGCAAAAATGTACGTCATAGACGGGCGATATGGGAAAAAAAAAATCGCATTATTATCGATAAAACGTCTACCGTCTCAACGGAGATCGCGGTGTTGTCGGAGAGACGATGACGAAGATGAACTTCCCGAATTACCTGCCCCGAAGAACAAATCTGATAAGTAATTTCCCACTTCTTCAGGGGTAAATTTGACAAATAACATTCTGTTCCTCTCTTCTTCGATCGTTAACCCGTACGTGTCATAGAACGCCCGGTACACCGGTACCAGCTTACTCGTGATCGAAACCTTTACATCGTCTCGAAGTTTCTTCTCCGGTATGACACACGATTTTTGTTTCCAATACGCGTCTTCAAAACTGGAGTTGAATTTCCTAAAGTACTCCTTAGCCTCTCCGGATGAAATCGCCGCTGTTGGATTCTCCGGCAACGAAGCGAACACTTGGCCCCATGCTAACCGCTCGTAATTTGTGGCGAACTGCCTCACTTTGGCTTCGTGCTTTGCGATCCACTCCTCGCCGAGAAGGTATTGGAGATTTGAGCTACGGACTCTGGCGACTACGTGCTCGAGATTGTTTGCTAAGAACAGATACGACAGAGAGATGCTTTTGTAGCGCTTCGCTTTTCCGTCGAGCTTACAGAGGAGCACAAGTATCAGCCATGCTATCCTCAGGGAGATGGCCGGTGCCGTAGAATCATCTGAAACTGGACTATCGAAGTACGATTCAGGTAATACAGACTTCACCGGTCGTGGCCAGTCGGTAAAAATATCGGCAAGGACGTCGCCGAAATCGGCAATGAGAGAAAGATAATTCATCGAGTCGAGTGTCAGTTGATGCACGCCACCGCCGGAGACCAGCACTTTCGACGAGTCCTTCTGGATTGTGGACTCAAAATCCGCGAGCAGTGAGCGGACTGACTCGTTGAGTCGGATGAGCGATTTCAGAGCCTGTAATCGGATGGGGGAGGTTAACTCAAAAGAGAAGATCGATTCAATTTCCTGCCAGTGTTCTGATATCGCCGTGTACATCTCGAGCACGCGGAACATTTTCTCCGGTGGTGATTTCTTCGTTTTGGCGATGAGTTCGGGGTACAAAAAGAGAAGTGTGGCTCCTTCCCTCGATATATCGGCGAAGCAAGATTCTCTGATGGAGTCCGAAGCATGGAAAACGTGGTCGCAGAGAATTCGCTCTCCG